TTCTCCAGCGCCTGAAGCTCACCAGCAGCAGCTGAATCATGGACGCCTGGGGCAGAGCCGGACTATCGTAAGGGGGGGACTATGAGGGGCCTGGGGTGGCATCCCCTCCCACCCCACTCCAGACCCCTGATAGCCCCCCCTTCTGATAGTCCGGCATATCTGATAATTCGGCACCCCTTGGGTCCTAAAGGTGCCGGATTATCGGAAGTTTACTGTATTGTCAAAGATGAAAAACTAGATTAAAAATGGTTTTAATTAAACCTAACAAATACTTACTTTTTTAAAAAACTGTTTTTAACCTCTTGTAGACAAATGGATGTTCAGGAGGCATTTCAAGTTGCAAAACCAAATCCCATTGTTTTCCTTGCAAAATGCATGTAACCCAGTGATTCTAGGAAATGAGCAGTAGCTGATATTATGCTAAGCTCCTCTAACCCTGCCCTGTGAAAATTTCTTCCCTTGTGGACCTATTGCCCAGTGAACCAGCTGTCACTACAAAGTATATACTGTGCCCTTTACCATTCGAAATGGATTTTCAAATGACTCCATTATGCGTCGAGCCTTCTGCTGTGCGACTGTTAAGTTCTTCTCATTCCCTTCATCCACATCAGGTTCCTTAAAGAATGCAGAAAACACAGTAGCATATAAAATACATAAGTTACATACAGACTGTATATAAACAATGATTTATGTTACCTGTTTGTTACCACTATTATGTTACAATACATAAGTTACATACAGACTGTATATAAACAATGATTCAAGCACTGTTTGTTACCTGATATGTGACCTGAAGCTTTTTAGGGTTAGTAAAAGTCAAAGACATCTAGGATACCCCCAAATACCAAAAATCGATACACCATCAACTAGGTTTTGCTTATCCGGAGAGACAGGGATAAAGAAGAGGGAAACAGGATGGGGAAATGAGGCAGCAGAGTTTTACTTCTATACTTGACCACCCCATAAAATTGTGTTCTGTAACAGTACTGATTTCACACCTGCTGCTTGTTTGAGTAAGTATGTGAATTTCCAGTTGGATTTTTGAGCTCCTCAGGTTATCACTCATATAATTTCTTAATTCACGTAAAGGCACAGCATGGGCAATGACCCTGGGACTGATGAGCTAACCCACAAGCCAGCTTCTTACTTGCTGAACTTGGTTATGCTGTACACCTGACAGGGAACACAGCAGTATCTCCATGGATATCCTATTTCTCTGCAGCTACCTTTGGTGCAGCGTTACTAGAATGCTTCGCCAATTTATCAAAGCTTTATTTTCTGAAACTCAAATCCTTCATATTACTGGATCTTACACTGAATATACTGATGGTGGCTGTAGCAACAAGACATGCAGAATTTGGTAATATTCTTGTGCTGTCCCTCTCCCCATCATTGTCTGGAAAGAGAGTCCCACATTCCAGAACTGGTGCAGGTTCTGTAAAGAAAGAAAACAAGGTTTCTGGTTTTAAACACTGCATTCCTATTAGATTTGTGTTTTGCTATGAGCTTCCTGGCTTTGTAAATGAGCTTAAACTGAGGTGGAATGCTTATTTTAAAGGTGTCAAAGAATAAAGCCTATTTGATTTTTTTCTATATTAGCAGAAGTGAGAGGCTTTCCTCCATCCTTCCCAAATTACCTAAGTTGGAGAAGTTCTGAATATCATCCAGAGGAACATGTGAATTGTCATGAGGTCCAAACAAGTGATTCTCCAGCCTCTGAAAAATAAATGCGCATTACATATGGGATCAATACAGAACCTTGCTCTAAGACTCTTTAAGGGCATTTAGGGTGTGTCTAGACTACAGGGTTTTGTTGACAAAAGTCCACTTTTGTCGACAATACTATACCTGAGTCCACACTACCGCTGAGTTCTGTCGACATAACGTCGACAGAATTCAGCAGTTTTGTCGACGCTGGTAAACCTCATTTCACGAGGCATAACGCCTTCTGTCGACAGAAAGCGTTATTGCATGTAAACTGTCCTTGCGTCTACACTGCCATGTCGACAAAGCAGCTTGCTTTGTCGACAGAACTGAATGTAGTGTAGACGCTTTGTCGACAGAAGCTTTGTCGACAGTCTCTGTCGACAAAACTTCTGTCGACAAAACCCTGTAGTCTAGACGTACCCTAACAGAGTAGAAAATGACAGGCTAATCACAGTTTAAATGTATGGGCGATATTCTGAGATCAAGTATTTCTAATATAGTTCATCTGCTATTGCACAATAAATGACATCAAAAGGATGGCTATACAAATGGCTATTGGCTAGCAAGAATGCTTTGCTTCATAGACACAAGATAGATAACTGCAGCAGCTGCAGTAACTCATTGGAAATTTTCCTTTAAAAAAAAAAATCAGTCAATGTAGATAACACACATACGTAAACTTTGTCTAGCAACTGTAGTATTTACTTATCAAAGACTTATTTACCATAGTCTTGGAGCTTTTAAAATACTGACTCATGACAGGTACTTTTATAAGCATTACCACACACAAGGATAAAACAGGGTTGAAAAGACAGATTTGTCAAATGGAAAAGAACTAGTCAGTGAACTTAGTTAAACTAGCTAAAGAAAAATTACAATCTTCATGCTTATGATGTGGGCTTTCCCTATGGCAGTTTCTAGGAGTTTATGGTTTAACACATGAGCACGGCTAGCATGACATAGTCGGTACCTCTGGGTTGGGCAGAGATCCTTTCTTCTTTACCCCTGTTTCAGTTTCAGACTAAAAGGGGACAAGAAAAAAAAAAAGAAAATGACTAACTTAACTTTGAAGCATATAGATCAGCAGCATACATTTCCTTTTATCAGTATTTTCAACAAAGCTGGCAGAAGATCAGTTCTACCCTCTTCTCCCGGGGTGTCTCTGTGTAAGGATTGGTAAAATGATGAAGTTGTTCACATAGCAAGGCTGTTTGTGCTTAGAAATGGCTTAATTTCACTGTAGGAGGATGCACTCCACTGCAGTGACAGCAGAAGTGTGCTGACATACATTAAACCTCATTCCAAGCCTCTAGGTTGGGTGTGCATTTCTGATTTGCCAAATATGTGAGGCATATCATTGGTGATTTTTTATGTGCATCCAAAATGCTCATATTCCCTTGTACATAATATCATGTGTGCATAAAGTGGAATAGGGTTATGTCCCAGAAACCTCTTAGATTATTGTTTGGCTCAATAGTGAATATTTTTACCATGTTACTCCTCTAGTTCCCTTAAGAATCTGAACTATTTTGAAGTTTGCAATGATATTTCAGGGTGGGAGGGGAAGGCCTACAAGAAGTACTTTTGCTTGCACTATAGCATCCTGTTTCAAAGCGAGGTTATTGTCTTACATACAAATGGCAATTCCCAGCAGCAGTCTTGCACATGTAGACTATTCCTAGATTTCAATACCTATGAGAGTAAGAACCTCTCGAGGACAAGGTGCAAGAGAAATTTCACAATAAAGTCCATGTCTTTTGGGTTTTGTTATGTTTTGGTAGAAAATTCTTGTACCTTGAGCAGTGGCATCTCCCGGGCCTGTTGGATGAGGAGATGCATTTCGTTGATTTGCTGGCGGACTAGTGGTGGGATTGGATTGCAACAAGCAATGATGCCCTGGGGTTCTCTAAAGACATAATAAATTAAACCAAGTTTGCTATATTCTCAGCTTATAAATCAAACATCCACAAGCAACGGAGAGTCAGCCAGATGTAATCAGAGGCCCTTGCTTCACTGATTAAGTGACAGCAGATTAGTCAGTCACTTTTTATCCAGTACAACTACCAACATGTGCACAAAGTGGTAGCAACACAAGGAAATCTCATTAGCTCAAGCCCATCATGTTTTTTCTGTATCCAGCTTCAATTTCACTTGTCTAATATCTATTTTCCTTACAGAGGCAGTGTGGAAGGTTTTGAAATCACAGGTGCAGTTTTATTTTCTTTCACGTGTGGATAATAAATTGTGAGTACTAAGCCTTAAAAAAAAATCCTGTTTACAGCAAAATGTTTTTTTTTTTTTGGGGGGGGGGGGGGGTGGGA